TTAGAATCACACTCTAGAGATGATAATTCTCTAGGGAGTGCTGTTTCTAAATTTAAACGACGCAACACGAATATTCCGCCCATTAACGGCCCAACGGGATCGCTTACACTGATTTTGAGAAAGCTGAGTCTATTGCAGATCACTATGCTTCTCAATTTCGTACACACAACATTTCCCATCCTCAAACAGAACACTCAGTTATGTCCCTCATTACTCAATTCCAATCAAGAACACACGCAAACAACACACCCTTAATTATGCCGTCAGAGGTTATTATTTATATCGAGAAGAGAAAAAAAAACGGAAAAGCCTCGAATTGGACAATATCAGCACCAAAATGATCAAGGATATGGGAGCAAAGATGCTAAGTAAATTCACTAAACTCCTAAACGCTATGTTAAGACTGCAGTATTTTCTGACCAATTGGAAAACAGCAATCATATCGCCGATTCTGAAACCAGGAAAAACCCCCCTCTGGCTGCATCCTATAGGCCGATAAGCTTTTTATCGACTCGGAGCAAAATAGCAGAAGCTGTAATACTGAAAAGAATTCAAGGTTTTCTGCAGGATAATAACATCTTCATCCCACAGCAATATGGTTTCAGAAGAAAGCACTCTAACACCCACCAAGTTTATCATGACACAGAAATGATTGCAGATGGATTCAAGCAGAAACTCATCACTGGAGCTCTCTTTCTCGATATTTCGAAAGCCTTTGACTGTGTATGGCTACAGGGCCTCACCTGCAAACTAATTACTCTGGGTTTCCCAGATTACATCATAAACCTCATTAATTCCTATCTTTACGACAGACACTTTGTCGTTTGTTATAACAATACTCATTCTACACAAAAAATAACTCTTTCTGGTTTATCTCAAGGAAGTTTACTTTCGCCCACTTTATTTTCAATTTATACGAACGACATCCCACACAACTCCTTCACTACGCTAGCACTTTATGCAGACGACACTACGATCCTTTACTAAAACGCGTCTATGGCCGCAGTTGTACAAACGTTACAAGAACACATCCACGCACTAGAGTCCTGGATGACAAAATGGAAGATAAAAACGAATGTTGATAAGTCTGAAGCTGTTTACTTCACGTACAAAAGAAACACCGATCTGAATATCACCCTGAAAATGTACGACGTCAGCATCCCCTGTGCCAAGCAAGTCAAATACCTCGGTGTCATTTTAAACCAAAACCTCACTTGGACCCCACACATAACATATATCTTAAATAAGTTTCGGGGTACTAAAGCTTTACTCAACCCCTTAATTGCCCAAAACTCCGCTTTATCAATTTAAAATAAACTTCATGTATTTCGATCCATGTTGCGACGAATTATTACCTATGCCTGTCCCGTCTGGGGCTTTGTGTGTAAAAGTAAAATGTTAAGAATTCAGGAAAGTCATTGCGCTCAGAAGAATAACTAATAGTAATAGTAACAATTAATATAACGCTGATTTTTGTTGTTTGACTTCTGGATTAGTATTTGTTCGGCGTGTTATCGTGTCTTAATTAATAGTCCCTGGTTTTTCAGGAATGAAGCTATCCCCAATGAATTGAATATTGACAAAAGCAGTGTATGCATAGCAAAAGTAGCGAAGAAATTCTTCAATAATATTGACAAAGCCCAAAATAGTTCTATTCCCATATTGAAGTATGACTACGCAAGCAGTGACAACAGAAAAAGACCAGGAGCGGTCCTTCCCCACTTAAATGACTGGAATTTAATGTGCTGATACAAATAGTATTCCCAGTTGTGCCCCTGAATCTCTTTTATACTTCAGAAAATCTAGCTTAATCTCATGCATTTATCTTAATTTCTTTCGACACGCATTACTGTCGCCATCTAGGATCAAATTGCTGTACCTAGTTCCCTCAATAGTTGTTTAGTCCTACCATATTATTTCACTCCACGATCCTTTTACTTGATTTTTATATATTTTTGTACCTAATTACGTACTTATGTTATTAATCTAACTTAGGATACAAACTTTATGTTTAGCCTCGCCCCTTGACCAATTCCTGAGTTTCAAGTTAATGCACTTCCTTTCCAGCCACCTCATTGGACCCTGCAAACAAGAAGCTCCACCAGGGGGGGCAGTCCTTTGGCACCCCTGGCCAAAGGACTTCTCTCTCCACCCATGCATCGACCATTTGAGCTCCAGGCGCCCGAATAGTAGCATGCCACACCATTTGCTCTGCAAAGATTGCTATTTACGCTGATCCAGCAGCCATTATTGCTTTATCACCCCTTTGGACATTGTACGCTGAGCAACTGAACTGACTGACTGATTTGTATATGCGAGAGGCTCATTCACCATGCAATTCACATATTAATTTGCTACGTTATTGTGTGCTGCTCTCACATATTAATTTGCTATGTTATGTCAGGGACGCCATGCTTATCCTCACGAGTTATACTCAGGATGCGGCTACCAGCTCAGGGGCCTGAAAAAATGTGTGCGTAACACCTGAGCCTCCGTTTCAAAGCTTGGTTTCGAAGCTAACGGCGTGCAGGTGATGGATCATTGTGGTAATATGCACTCCAAAAACTCTAAAAGCTTACGCATAGTTCAAGGCGGGTGTTTACCCTTATCTACACTTACTACCAATAAGTATTTGGACACCTGTGATAGAAAAGAAAAACTAACTTTATTCAAAATCAATAGTTTGTAGAGACTCCATGAGAGGTAATTATAGTGTGGTCGCTACCCCTTTCAGTCGCTACTCCTTTTTATCACTAAGATTTTTTCCGCAACCCCCAGGACTCCATAATATTAAGAAAAATTTGTGGAACCCCATAAGTATTGCGCAAGTCCGACACACGCGTGAATGAAACTGTAAATTTTTTCACTTGTAAATGTAACATATTATTGGAGTTTCATTAACTTTAATTTCTAATTTTAAGATATAGAACATTGTGAAAATCTTAAGTAAGTAACAGACGAAATGACAGCTTCACGTGCAAAGTAAGGAAATGAACGTTTATACACTGACTACCAATAAGTATTTGGACACCTATGATAGAAAGAAAAAAACTAACTTTTTTTTCAAAATCAATAGTTGGTAGAGCCTCCACAGAGAGGTAATTACAGCATGGACCCTCCGGGGCATACTTTCCACAAGTCTTTGTATGACAGCTAGTGGTATTTTCTTCCATTCGGCTTGGAGAAGTTCCTTCAACCGATTTGCACGGGTAGTGCCACCCCTGAATTCGGCGATTTGCAACTCGTCCCAGAGGTTCTCGATAGTGTTCAGGTCTGGACTCTGGGCAGGCCAGTCCATTCGATGATCTCTATTGGCACCATACCAAGCCTTGGTTAACGTCGAAACGAAACATGACAACTGGCATTGTCGTCCTGAAAGTAACAGGGGTCCAACCTGTAAAACTGCCACAACGTAGGAAGCACATTGTCATCCAAAATAGTGCAGTAGGCATCGGAGTTGGGCTTTCCATGAATGGGGACCAAGGGTCCCAGCCCATACCAGGAGAAACACCCCCAGACCATAATTCCACCTCCGCCGAACTTGACTGTTGGCACAATGCATTCTGGCAGGAGACGTTCTCCAGGTAGAAGCCAGACCCAGACTCTGCCATCCGAACGGTAAAGGGTGAACCTTGATTCGTCGCTCCAAAGAACCCGTTTCTACTGATCTACGGTCCAATTTCGATGTGCTTTGCACCACATTAACCGAGCAGCGCGGTTGGACTTTGTGATCAAAGGCTTATGGGCAGCAGCACGACCAAGAAAACCAAGCAGATGTGCTTCCTTACGGATGGTATTCATTGAAACAGTACTCCCGGATGCCTGTTGAAACTCCTCGCGGATGAGGGCCATCGGTTGGGTGCGGTTCTTCCGAATTTCTCTGGACAGCACTCGTCGGTCTCTATCTCCCAGTTTCTTTGGTCTTCCGACTCGGGGCACATTCCGACAATCACCGCTCACCTTCCACCTCTTAATCACATAGGCCACTATCGATTTTGGGTACTTCAGATCGCTAGATATGTCCCTTAAGGATCGGCCACATTTGTGATACCTGATAATTATACCTTTCTCGAAATCAGAGAGCTCCGAACTGCGAGGCATCTTGCATGCGACTAAAGCCGAAGCTGTTTCCTACACGATATATACCGGCGGAGTCCGTGACGTACCTTAGTACCGCAGATATCGTCATTTGCATAGGTGTCCAAATACTTATTGGTAGTCAGTGTATAGCTGAATTCCACACGGCTTTGATGGGATCCGTTCTGACAGATTACACAGCATTCTTCGTAAACTCCTCTCTCTCTGAATACCAGGGCCAGATTACCAATTAGGCACAGTAGGCACGTGCCTAGGGCCTACGAAGGCCAAAGGTCTTAGGGCTTTGAAAAAAAATATATTGAAATAAAAATACCCAAAAAACTTATAAACATTTTTATATTATTATATAGAGAAAGTCAAAATAATATATGTAAATACAAATACACAAAAAATATGAATACAAAACGTTTGGTTTACTAAGTAGATCCTAAAATAACTCCTTTTTTCGGGATTTTGACACAGCGAATTCGTGTATTATATCTTCAAAATTAATGCCGCGAGCGACATCACTTTCAATACACAGAAGGCCCAGTGACGAAGTTCTCTCTTGACCCATAGTTGAACGCATAAAATTTTTTATAAGCTTCAACTTGGAGAATGATCTTTCTCCTTCTGCATTCGAACCCAATATCGAAAGGTATATGCGCAATGCAATATTAACATTTGGGAAACTTGACACAAGTTTATCCTTTATTTGTAATTTGACGAGATCCGTTATAGAGGTGGTTTGGGGGTACAAATTTGAAAAAATCAAACACTCATCAACAAAGTTTTCTTCTAAGTCAGACGGATACATTTTTACCAGAGCTTGAGCCTTAACCTTGATAATGTCCTCGGTCAGTGTATTATCCGTAAGAAAACTAAATGTGTCATAAAGGCTGGTATACGCAGTGCGTCTTTTGTCATTTCAGCGCAAAGCACATCCAGAACAATAAAAAAAAATTAATCTTAAAGGAATCTTTGGCACTGCGAGAGGAAGTCTCATCTGGCCCTTCATCGAACTGTCGTTTTCTCTTACGAACTCTAGTTTCGGATTCTTTAAATTCTGAATCTGGTGCAAGGGCTTTTGCCTTAAGATAATAGCTATTATACATGTCCTCAATTCTGCAGTGAGATAAATATTGAATTAAACTGTCGTAAAGTCGCACCATCGTGTTAAACTCGATGCCAGGTTCTTGAAGAGATTTATTTACAATATCGACGTGTTTTAGTAGATCTTCCCAAATAACTGTGAGTAATACCATCTCCAAAGTATTCATTTGATGGATTAAGGTTTGTGCCTCAATCACTGTTGTAGGTTTCATACCTTCACTAGTTGAAATATTTGTAAGAATACCACGTATATCATCATAATGGGCACATAATGTTTTTACAGCCTCATAACGTGCTGACCATCTGGTCTCTGAAAGTCTTTTTACAGAAATTTTACTTCCCAAAGACCTTAGTTTAGACCATCTTTGAGGGGACGCTGCAAAGAAATTGTAGAGCGATTGCAAAATTTCAAAAAATTTTACAGCTTCTAAGCAGCTTTCTGCCGCCGCTGTGCCAACTAGATTAAGACTATGAGCTCCACATGGTACCCAAGTGGCTGCGCTGTTGATTTCCCTAAATCTAGTTTGTACTCCCGAATACACTCCGCTTATATTAGCCGCATTGTCATAAGACTGACATCTGCAAAATTTTGGGTCTATTCCCTGATTTTCTAAAACTGAAATTAGAGTGTCAAAAAGATACTTGGCATCATGTTTTTCTATTTTAACAAACATCAAAAATCTTTCATATATATCTACAGTTTTTGAGACATATCTAATAACTATGGAGAGTTGATCCGTATGGCTAACGTCAGGTGTAGAATCCACAGTGATTCCATAATACTTGGCTTCTTTGATTTCTGTAACTATTTTTTCCAATACTTTTGACCCCAGTAAAATTATTAGTTCTTCATACGTTGTGGAGGATAAATATGATACTTTTCCGCGGCCTGGATTACCGTATCTTCTTACATGTTCTTCTAGAAACGGATCAAATTTGGCTAAGAGATCGATACACCCAAGAAAATTGCCATTACTAGGATCACCATGTATTTCATTATCGCCTCTAAACGCTAGTCCCCTTTCGGTCAAAAACTTAATTACTTCCACTACTCTTCTTAAAACCGTTGTCCAATATGTGCTTTCTTTTTCCTTGACAATATCAAACGTCTCATCAATTTTTCTAGTTTGTTGGTAGTTCACTAAAGCAGAAATAGATGCAAAATGTTCTTTTGACACTTCATGACTTGAAATTCTCGAATGTGCGTTTTTCCAGTCATTAAAGCCTGTAAGGAATTGGTTACACAGGTTTGGATTTCCAGGTAGGTCCGATTTGAACAAAATACATTTATAACAAAAAAACTTGCCAGTAGATTCGGAAAATATCAACCAGTCCCTTTTTAATATCATTGTTGTTCAGTTTTCTGAAAAAATAATCTTGTGATGGACATCTCATTATTTCGCCAAATTTAGTGGCGTATAACTTAAAATTTATATCCAATTTCTGCACAGGGTGATTACGAGAGAAGTAATCGATAAGATCTGCGCTTATGGTTGTCCACCGTGCTGGATCAGAACTGAAAAATACTTGAGGCTGATGTTGTTGGTAGTGATTCAGGCACCACCTGCTTGGAAGCGTCGTTAAAATTTCGTAAACCCCCGTCAGCCTCTCTTCTGTGACATTCTCAGTTTTATTGGTTGAACATTCTTGCGAGTCCCAACAAGCCTCAGCTTCTTAGGTCTAACCTCGATCGAGGAAATATCTACCGCATCTGCATTATCTTCTGTCTCCTTAGAAATGTTAACATATTTCAATAAAGAACCTTTAATTTTACTAAGCGACTCACTCACTTTCTCTTTCTTTTTGCGTTTTTCATGTCCACTTTGGTGTTTCTTTTATATCCATCAGACATTTTTTCGCTAAAAAAAAAATATTTAAAAAAAAGCTTTTATAAATTGCGCTTAAAAGTTTAAAATAATTTTTAACTTTCTGATATACCATAATAAAAGCGATGGGCACGCACAAACTAAAATTTAAACTTGTTTTCTCCTTCTTCTCGTCACCTTTAAATATACATTTTAGTTTGCGCCCGTCGCTTTTATTATGCTATCAGAAAGCTAAAAAAGTTATTTTAAATTTGTTAAGTAATGCATTTTAAACTTGTAAAAACGAAACCCGGATTTACGAGTATGGATTAAAATTAAGCTATTCCAAAGGTGATTTGGACTGTACTATTTCTACGACTACTACTGGAGATTTTTTACAATAGTATGGCCAAACCACCCCATAGTAGGCCTACTCAAAGTTCCTTGCATTGTGCTGCATTCTACGGCGGACTATTATACTAATAAGAAGTGATAAAATGAAATTCTATTATTTATAATGGAATGAAGCAATATTCCAGAATCAAAAACTAGGTTGAAATAAGTAGAGTATAAAAACAACTTTCCTTTACTTACCTTACTTATAATAAATTTAACTTCCAGTTTTTAAACTAAAGATTGACTTGGGGTTGAGCGTGATTAAATACAAGCACAGGCATACACGCTCTATCGTAGTGTTTACATATTAACTTATTACACAACTGAGCTACTAAAACAAAAAGACCTTAGCAGCAGGGAAAACCTCTCGATCGCGCGCAAGCGTTTGGTAGTGGGCATGGAAACGTGGCCAACTGTGTCAAACCATGTGCCCGTCCGAGAGGTTTTCCCGGCGGCTAATGTCTTGTCATGTTCATGTACTAAAACCCTGGAATTCTGCATGGAATTTGGTAGATATAAAAGTTTGCATTGTTGCAGATAAACTCAATTCTGGAATTATGGCTATTGAAAATGGCTCTATGAAAAATAAAAACATTAAAATCCCAAAATAAAATAATGTTATTTTACCGCATCATCACATTTTCGGATTTATATCTACAACAAAATTATTACTTAATATTAGCGGTCAATTTCAGTTAAAAAATGTTTATTATTTCGGGGCCTACGCTGCTGGAGTGCCTAGGGCCTACGACACCCTTAATCCGGCCCTGCTGAATACGCTGTTAACAAGATAACTCATTATAGCGATATTTACCCCAGATCTGAAGTCGTAAAGCAGACAGCTATGAACAAAGGACTTATTTACGGGCACATTAGGGTTAAATCTTAAATGACGAGTTTCACTTGAATGCACTTTTATGTTATGTCAGCCTCTTTCTTTATGTACCCTTACAGCAGAAAATTCGAGAAAGAAGTGAAGAAATCTGAAGTGAAGTTCTAAAATGAAAAGAAATTTCCCAGCTATACAGTCCAATTTGACAACGAGTGTATTTTCGTAATTATGATCATTTCACAAATAATGCTTTCGTAAATTCACTAATAATGAAAATAATCTTTTAAAAACAATTTTTTGGAAAAATTCGTCAAAGTCACCAAAACATTATTTTTTTTTCAAATTGCAAGTTTTTTTTTTCTTTTTGCATTGCTACAATATTCTCTGTGTAACCTGTAATATTCACAATAACAGTCTTTGAGAACAATTTTTAAAGGGATCGTCATTACACGCAATTACTGTTCTGTCATCGACCTGTTCTTGTCGGATACACACAGCCTGAAGCCATTTCGTTCGAAGTAGAAACAATCTTTCGGTCGGGAAGTATTTTCTTTTTGGAAGACCTGTTAGTGAGAACCGGAAAAGGAATACTATTTATTCGAATCGTCGTATGCACTTTTTTTTTTTTTCTTTTGCGTAGAAATAATCCTAGTTTCATAATTGACCTTCATAAATAAGACAAGTCATTCACTAAACCTTTGAGATCAGTTACCTGTGGTTTGAGTTTAATGAATTAATCTCGATTTTGCTTATCTTAACCAATACTAATCTACTGAAAACGTACCCAATCATTTCAAGAAGGACACATGAAACATGAAAAATAACAGTCACTAGGTCAACATAACAGATCAAAGCATCGGGTGTTGATTTTTCTTCTTACACTCAAGTTTATAAGTCGAATTTAACTTGAACAGTACTTTTTGCTGGGGACAGCAACACTGCTTGTCATGTTTTGAAAATGAAATACAGTTTGAGATCTAGGGAGACTAAATTCTAACGTCTACCGATGTTTTCCGTATATAACTTAAAAACAAAGTAGATTTTTTAAATGTCTTTATCTGAGAATATTCTCTGGGAAAATTTGTCAAAAGTGTTTTAAATTGATAAATAATAAAAAAAAAAAGATTTAAATTTCATATATTAATCATCCATCTTATTTAATTCACAAATGAAACTATGTTTTGACTTACTTATTTTAAAGAAAACAAAATGACATTAGATGCCTTTTCATTACTGAAGGAGCAGGTTTGAGTTTGGTGTGGCTGTTCCAAATGGGAATCATTCAAAATGCTATACAAAATTTTTCTTTCGTGCTAGTTAATTTTCCCGTTAAATAGGTAGTAATAAAAGAGAAATTAGACATAAATAAGTGAAATTTAATCTGTAAAACTGAATTAACTTAGTTTAAATTGTTAAGTAATTTATTATAGCAGACAACACTTGAGCTATCTGTTCTGGAAGATTTTTAGATTTTATTATTTTACATACAGAAATTTAATAATTTTATAGTTGCATTAAATTCTCCAAAAATCTTCGCTTAAGGTCTCTTTGACTTACTGGTATTCTTCAGAAATCTAAAACTAAATATAACGATTAAATAATTACTAAAATAAAGACAAAAATAATAATGATAGTAATGTACTTAATTTTGCAAACTATATGTATTAAAATAGCTACCACTGCCTTGTAGTTTTGTATTAAAGCAGCTAAATTTTTAAAAAATGCTTATTTTGTATTACATTTACTCTAAAACTGTAGAAATTTTATAGAATTCAGAGCCAGGTTCTTCTCAGATACCCCAATTTTTTGCAGCAAAGAGCATTCGTTTTCTCCTTGTCTAAATAAAAATCTTATGTTTACTTTTGTCTGACTCCTTATTCAGTAAGGTATTTTATGTTAATTAAAACATATTACTATTTAAATTACTGTAATTTCTCGTTTCCGTAGCTCTCCCCAGAATGCAAATTAGTCAGTTAAGTATTTACGTTGAGAGTTTTGAATATTTTAGTGTTAGCTTTTTAATTTAAATTTTGGCAGCTTCACCTGCAGTTTTCGTCCTGTCGCCAGCTCTGCCAGAAATTGTTTTGAAATTAGATATTTTGCTAGCCGACGTTAAAAAGGCGCAGTTCAAATATTTGAGTCAGCTTGTAGGCTACTTTTAGTAGTCTCTTGAATACGTCACTTGAATATGAATTCCAACTTATCTTGTAGAGACATTAGGATTTTTTGGAAGCAGGAGAAGAGAAAAATTAGCAACGCCTTCTCTGGGAATCGAACCACGGACCTCTGGAATACGCCCCCAGCATGCAGACCACTCCATGAAGACATGCTAAGAAGGCGGGAGAAATACCTTATATACTCCCCCTTTTAAAGAGCGACTGGGGTTTTAGGGGACCCAATTATGAAATGAAAAAAAAATCTTCTGTTTTATTCCAAGGGAATAAATAAAAACAAAGAATGACGACCAGTTATCCCAGCGAGTTTAAGTACTCTAAGTGTATAATGCGCCATGATCAGAGCATCTCGGAATTAGAAAAACAATTCAAAGATTAAGGGAAGCTGTTTATTTTCCACAGCTACAAATATTTGTAGCTGAATATGCCAAATCCTGCAGCACTTGCCAATTAGTTAAATATATTATTTATGGCCTGGCCGGGTAACTTAATAGCATAAAAGCCACTTTTCGTAACGATATCATTACCCATGTACTGAAAAAAGAGTAAAACAGATATTTGCTTGTGATTATTGATTATTTTTCGAAGTGAGTATAAACAATATGCCTCAGATGGTGTAGAGACATTAGGATATTTTGAAGCAAGCAGACGTGAAAAATGAACAATGCCCTCGCCGGGACTCGAAGCACGGACCTCTCCAATACGCGCCGAGTGTGCTGGCCATTGCACTACAAAGGCATGCTAAGAAGGCGGGAGAAATACCTTATAATGGGTGTCTGCACAAATTGTTACCTATTCGTCTCTAAATAAATTTTCATTAAGATATAGAGCTTCAATAAATGATTCGCAATTCGTAAATCAAGTTTTTGAAGAAATGTATACAAGTTTTAACATGAAGCATTTTAAATTGATCTTTACCTACCACAGTCAAATCTCGGAGAGCGAGTAAATAAAAACGTAGTTAAAGCTATCCACTGGTATGCGAGAAATTATCACCAGCGCTTGAATAGCTGTATTAACGAACTACCCGCCTATCCACTAAGATCCGCTAAACACAATACCACTGATAAAACACCGACTGAAATTTTTATTGGAAGGAAACTCTATATGCTCTTCGATAAACTGTTTTTTGTTGAGAAAAGAGGTCTTAAAAATTTAAGATGGCAGATATTCGGATATTGGTGGATAAAACAACGGGCAATTCAGATATGGTCAGTGGAAAGCAAAAATGTAACTAAAAGAAAAGGCGTGAGGTCGATTTTAAGGTGGGAGATAAGATTTTAAAAATTAAGCATTCTCGTTCTTGTGCACCAGAATTAAAAGCGAGAAAATTCTATAACAAATGTTTTTCCATCTTTTATTGAAAGAATCAGAGAAACAACATTATAGTTAAAAGGAAATAATGGTGAATCTCCAAGAGCGAACATAAATGAGGTTAAAAAATTACTACTAGAAGCTTAATAAGGGCTGTATTAGAGGAAAGCCCTGGAATGAGCAGTGTAAGGAATTATAAAAGGTTATTCTTGTTCATACGTATTTGTGTACCTTAAGAATTCTTTGCTAGACTATTTTTCCTTCCAGGAATTTGGAAGGCTATGGAAGAGAAAGAAAATAGTGAACGAAAATGTTCTACGAAGGAAGGAAATGTAAATGGAGGCGTAAGAATCAGTATTATCGTAAATGAGATTTTGTAAGAGTTGACTCAAGATTTAAGAGTTTAAAATCTCAACCAAATTCATACTGACCTTCGTTTTCGATTATTTTTAATTCCGGTGGGGACCAGTGTAAGGTATTTTATGTTAATTAAGCATTTATTATGATATAAGTCTTTATTATAACTTCTTTCTATAATTCTCACCAAAATGCAAATTAGTCAGTTGAATATTTGAGTGTTTTGAATGATTTAAACCTTTTGGCAGCCTCGGCAGCAGCTTTCCTCCTATAGTCAGCTCTGCCAGAAATTATTCCGACTTCACTCATTTTGCCACCCGACGTTAAAAACGCACCGTTAAAATATCTGAATCAACTTACAAGTAAACCATTTTGTGTAGTAACCGACTACATTACTTGAATTTCAACTTATTTTAAATACCCGCAGGTGGCGGAGGGTATTTGTTCACACAAATGGTGCCTTTTGCTTAAAGATTTAATAAAATGGCTATTTTAATCTTCTCAAGAATCTGTCATCTTAATTCAGACTCCTTTGTCATTCTAATAGGGTCTGAAGGGCACTGATTTAAACTTCGACACAATGGAAAGGCTACAAATGTTACTCAATGCTTGTTTAGGGAATGCGTTATAAGTAAAGAGTAAGAGTTTTCACTTGTGCAACTAAACAACCTTGCAAAGTGACAGTAAAGCAATTTAAATTTTTGCAATTTAAATGTGATTTCATTTTTTTTTTTTTAACATTGATAGCAGTAGATTAACATAAGGCCTATATTTTAATTCTTTTTCCTTGTAAAATGAAAGGAAGGAAACAGAAATCCATGTCTGTAGCATTCCTAAAAAGTAATCATCAATCTAAGCTACATATCATTTTTATCTTATCTCGTCATTTCCCTAGTTAAGACAGGGCATGTCTCCGTATTTCTGGATCTTGGTGGAATGCGTACATTTCGCCTCTATAGTTACCTTTTTCTCCCCCATATTCTCTGAGGTCACTGTCTAAATTCTAGACTGAGGGTATAGTGCAAAACTAAACTCTTACCTTATTACAGACACGATATTTTAATCATAAGAAACAAAACTGGCTTTGCAAGTTTTTGTTTAAATATTTGAGTTTGATTAACAGAACATCTAAATCAGGAGTAGTAGCTGATAGAAGGGATCAGATTTTTTCCCGTTGCTGCTCTTTTCGTGGTCACAGTTCGACCTTTAAAACCAGAATTAATAGATAAAATGTGCTCGCAAGTAGAAAAAATATTATCTTAATTTAAACTGTTTAGAATGTAGTTTTCAGTACATCCATTCTTAGAAAGCATTAAATATTATAAAATGACGTATGAATTTACACAGTTCAAGATCTTTGTGTCATTAGAAAAAATTAAAGTATATATGAAATCAGCGTAGACGCACACGTAACAAATTAATCTTGTTTATTTCAGGACTACATTTTTGTTGACACTTGTCTGTTCTACATTCGGTGACGTTGAGATATAGAATTTTTTTATTACAAAAAAAAAAAAAAAATGAGGGTAGATATCTTGGGAGAGATATGAAGGATTATTGTGAATGTATGGCATTCTTCATTCATTCAATAATCTTCTTTGATACTAGATCGTAAATTTGCGTTTTGGAACTTCAAGCTGAACTACTAGTAATTAGTGATTTCTCTCCTGTATCACATTACAGGAATCCATTTGAATTATTTCCCTAATCTAAGATGAAATTCTTTTAAGCCACCTACAATGTTGCAATGAAGATAAGTTATTGTATGATCAACATAATTTTAGTCGCCACTTTATAGAGTTTGACATGCTTTGGGAGAACTACTTCCATACACTAACAGACGTTACGCGAATTATAGCTGCGCGAGTAATTAACTACAAAATCTTAGGAAGGTTTTAAAATAACCCTTTTATTTAAACACAAACTTTGAACATAAATGCATGTATTGTGTTAACATTATCAGCCACCAATTGTGGCGATGGAACTAAAATAACAGACAAGTTCAAATTTAAAAGGAAGACTACGCAATTATATTTAAATCTAAACTGGCTCAGAAAACTTTAACCGGAGCATCATTTTAAATGTTAGCAGCAATAACGCAAAGCCAAAGAATTACAATATCTGTGTTATCAATCACCAATTTATCAGTGTTGGCAGAACCACACAACGTGGCAACAAGAGGCAGATACACACTCTGCCTTACAATCAAAAAATATAAATTTACATTATGGTAAGGAAATGGAAAGAAGAAGTCATAGTAAAGACTGAAATTATAAATAATTGGTTAGGTTCAAATAATAGCGTTAGAGCCTTAAAAAGAGATTCTTATGCATATTCTTTCACATTCAGTTCACACTAAAAATCGTTAAATTAACTAAATTTAACTCACCTTATTTTCTAATACTCTAGATCAGAAACAATACATTTCTCTCAGTAGACTTGAATTTATTTCATTAAAGTTTAAGCATGAAATTTTCCGCTTCATCGTGAAGATGTTCAAACCGAAGCCTGGCTAAAATCGATTTCTATTGTCAAAGTTTACATTAATGATGACTATTTTTCTGAATATGGTTGCTATTTCAATAAACGTTTGGCTTACATTAATAATGAGATGAGTTATTTATTTATTTGAGTAGTAAGAATAAAGGAAATTCTTCTTCACTAAGTTTTCAAAGTTTTGCCCTATTTCTAACATTCCGATAGGATCGCGGAAAATTAGCTTTTGCGTTATTCTAAGCTGATACCATACAGTTATTCCTTAGAGAGCTTTTCTGGTGAATGTTTATTAAAATCTACTCTCTTAAGAGAGCTAACTATTCGTGTTTTATAAGTATCAGACTTCTTTTAAGACTAAGATAAAAAAAAATCTGGTGTGCTATAAAGCTGTTTTAGCTCAAAAAATCTAGTGTGCTTAAAGCTGTTTTAGCTCCGTTACTTTTGTAGAGTGTTTGATACTAAATTCTTAAACAAGATTTTCCTATAGGTTATAAAGTATTTCTCCCGCCTTCCTAGCGTGCCTTCGTGGTGTAGTGGTTCTGCACGCTGGGCCGGTATTCCAGAGGTCCGTGGTTCGATTCCTGGCGAAGGCGTTGCTAAATTTTCACCTCTCCGGCTTTTCCAATTAACCTAATGTCTCTACAAGGTTATTTAATCAGATATAGAATTCTTTACTGACCTTATAGACAAAGAAAAATAAATAAACAATATAAAATTTACCACTGTTTATTATATCTAAAATTACCCCAACTTCAAGCCGCACAAGACCGCTGAATACAGAGAGTTCTATTTGGATTCGAACCAGATCAGGTGAGTGGGCGGTTGGTTTTCCTGATTCTCCCCATGTGTAAAGTGAAAACAAGCTAGTTTCCCTTAAAAAGTACCCCCTTCACTAAGGGGAGCTGTAGGAATAAATTTCCTGCCTTCATGCACGAAGGCATCCCTGTTCTTAGCAGATAGCCCTCGTATTCTTTGCCATATTTACCTCACCCCCAAATTTCAGTTATTTGTATCATTTAGCAAAAATACTTTGTTGGGATTTGTACATTTGCTGCTCTTCCATATACTTCAGCTGTGAAATCGATTGTAAGAAAATATTTCAGTCGAATATTACCGCTCATTTTTTATCTAAATAATGTCATTTGAAACGCGTATTCTATTCAAACAAAAGAAAATATTAATGGCCCAATTTTACCTTGAGTCATATCTTTTGTTTCTGAGCTTTGAACTTTAACAGAAATAAAATATTTACTGAAAGCTGAGGTCTTTTCACACATTCGAAATTCGCTTTTAAAGGTTCATAAAAGCATTTAAAATTGCACAGAACTTTCCCCTTTTTTATGTCTAAGCAAACAAAAACGCTCACTTTACTCATTGAGGAGACATTTTGGCACCGGTTACATCATTTTTTTTTTTTTTTTTTTTTTTACCTCTCTTTACCATCATGGGCGTGTATGTTTTCAAAGTAGAATGGCCCCAACGAAGTTGCTGCCCCTTAGGAAATAACATACTAACCTATTTATGGAGAGCTTAGGCTTTGCATACCGCAATAAAAACTTCGGATATCAGATTTTTCACCTCTAAAGAGTACATTACTCTATTTTGAAAGAGAGGATGATGATACTCGGAACCCTCTGGACTCCAGTTTTACTTGCAGAGAAGGGGGAAGGAAGAATACCCTACCCCCTGAATAGATGAAAATACTTCCTTCAAACCCCCCAAGGTCATTACCGTTAGTTACCTCATTTATAGCGGACGGCCTGACCTTGATAAAACGAAAGCTGAGAGCTAACTCGATTTCCAGTCATCTTTGCCAACTTGAGGGGTGATAGCGTCCTTCTGAAGGTAAGCAGGCTATGAAAGTATGACTTTTCTTTTACTTTAGTTAGGACAATGCCTTTTAATATGTTTGCATTTATGTTTATGCGTAAAGTTATGAATAATTTCAATAACAGTTTAACAAGTGGTCCCCTCTTTCAATTTGCAATATCAAGAAACTGAAAAGATGGCAATATCATATAAAACCTACTGCTACATTATGAACTTCATGAGCTACAGAATTTTGTTTCTTTATATATATTTCACGGGTTATCGCATGATTTATACATATCATTGAGTCAAAACTTACCTTTATTCCTCAGACCATGGGCACGATTATTTGGAGTTTAAAAATTTAAGATATTCAAATACGATATTTATCAATAAATGTCAAAGAAATGCTGACATAATTATCTTCGCAATACTAAATACGCGTATAAAAGGAAACTCAAAGTTCCCGCATATTTTTACATTGGCTCCTTGTTGTTTGTTATCCAAAAACTCACACTTAAGAATGGACAAATTTTGTTATTATAAAATAAGCAATTACGAATCGAGACTAGTGATATTGAAATTTTTACGATTTATTTTACTCAGTATAGTAATTTCAGTTTCAGCAGTACAGTAATACTCAGTCAGTATAGTAATTTCACTTAAGCATTTTAATTACTATGCAGTATCTTCACAGAAGCCTGTTGATCAGATATCCTAGAAAAATGCATTTTTTATTGGAATTAAAAAGGAAATCTTATTAGGCAAATGTAGTGATTACGAAATTAAATAATTTCTCCAGTAAAACCTAATTTACATCTCAAAATTCTTTGTAAGTTTTTCAGTCTAAGTTTTTTCAAAAGCAACTGTCTATTTAATTTGAGACAAATGTTTTCGAAGACTTATATAGTAGACATCTTGAAATTAACATTATTTATTAAAGTTCTACATCGTACATCTTCCTTTTTTCCTTGGAAATTTCTCTTGAATGAAAGCCAGGCATTTACAAAAATTATCTGATGTTTTTTTTTATAATAATAACTAATAAAATAATTTACTTATATAGTAGACAGTAGTATAATATAATTTACTTATATAGTAGACAGCTGAAATTAACATTATTTATTAATACTTAAAGTCCTGCGTCGTACATCTTCCTTTTTGCTTGGAAATTTCTCTTGAATGAAAGTCAGGCATTTACAAAAATTATCTTATTTATTATTATTATTATTATTATTATTATGATAATGATGATGTTAGACCTAACTCTATTAGAAACTCAGAAGCGTTCTCAGCTTCATTCTCGTAGCGGTAAGACGATAAGCTAAGCCTAGATTTATTTTAAGACATGTAATCCACAGAAGATAAAGAGCTACTTCAAAATTTGTGGGTAAAGATAAAACGTTGAATTAAACCACAAAATTGTTGCGTACGTATCTTTTTCTCATGGAAATCTTAAAAACCTAACATAAATTAAATTTATTTAAGAAATAGGAAGATATTAAGAACATATTATAATTCAACTTTAGCCCATATTACAAACATATTATAATCCAACTTTAGCCCATATTACGAACATTTTATAATCCAACTTTAGCCCTTTAAAACGAAAAACTCATGAAAAATCTGGCAATATCTTGCTATCGCTTCATTTATGCAAAATAAAAAAAAAAAAAAAAAAAAAAAAAAAAAAAAACTCATATATCTACATCAAGTTATCATATAAACTAAAAACATATATGTAATCTATTAGTTTATAAGGTATTTCTCCCGTATTCTTAGCTTGCTTTCGTGGTTTAGTGGTCAGCACACTGAGACGGTATTTCAGAGGTCCGTGGTTCGATTCCCTGCGAAGACGATTGCTAATTTTTCATCTATTTCATCTCTCCGGACATTAGGACTTCTTTTCCCTAAAAAAAATCCTAATGGCTCTGCAAGTTAAAACACATTATTTATAATTTTCAATTCAAACCTCCGGCTAATACTTTAGTTTTGCCATACTAAAACTATTTAATTCAATGTTTTTACCTGCAATAAGATTTCTTGTACATCATCAATCTGCATTAAGGTCACTCATAGTCAGTTAAAAAGATAAAAATAAATATTATGTTTATTGAAATTATTTTGTCACATCCATAAAGAGACTTTCTGATCTAGGTTCGAAATCAGTTACATTCAGATATCTATTTAATCACATTTTCAGTCTTGTATTTCCCTGGTATCTAAGGGAAATTATCTAAGGAAAAATCTTGTATTTCCCTGGTATCTAAGGCTTTCCTTTTACTGTCGGTTGCCATATTTTCATAATGTATAAATAGAATATGCTATTTTAACCAATCCAATTCTTTTAAGACTTTTAAGGAAGTTCAAAGAGATAACTGGACGACCGTTTAGAGGGAGTAAGGAGGAGCAGAAATCTGACAGAAATGATTTGATTATTATAAGTGTAACATGACCTTACTATTATTCTCTGAATATTTTTTATCAGTTTTAGCACGAAATAATTAATTTTGTTAACTCAGCGTGATTTAATTTAAAATACTGTAAAATTATTTTTTAACATTATCAAGAAAAACCCAAATTATAAAAGATGATAATCATGAAGTGGAAAGAAAATAATTAATCATTTTTGTGACACTTGTCAGAACGTCAGAGCAGAAAATTAATTGCTTCTTTTTCATTGAACATTTTATGTAATTTTAAATGGTTGTAATGAGAATATTTGTAGATACTGTTTAAACAGTACCTGTTTTCAAAGGAATTCTAAATGCTTTTCTTGTCTAATTTATAAGCCGGAACAGATGTCACACATTAATTTCACTATTTCAGGATTTCGGTTTTGGTCTTACACTCTTACACCGTGCTTTTGTGAAGGAAATGCTGATAAACTCCTTTTTAATAAGCATGCGACTGACAATTCAGAGGATACATATATATATATATCATGGCCTTATACGTATATATTCAAAGTCCTCATGAGAAGCCCACGACGTGAAGACATTTTGCTTTTCTAACATCTCACTCTTTTAACACAAAAATGGGAAAAAAGAATATTATTTAGTGTAAAACTTTAACTAAATTTTTAAATCAATTAATCCTTAAAAGAAGACTCAAAATGTTGCAAAAAAAAGTGATTAAATAGTTTTAATGATTCTTTTAGAGATGATTAAAAAAATTTGAATTTTAGTTTTTAAATTTTGTAATTTAAAATTACAGAGAAAAGTTGAAATAGGAAGTAACCTATTTCAACTTTTCTCTGTAATTTTAAATATCATTTTTTTGCAAACTTTTAATATTGCAATTTCAAATTTCTTTTTCTTTGACTAAAAAATATAATAAATTTTCTTTAAAAGTTTTTCTTTTGGTTTCAAAATTACATATTTCGTACAAGATTTTAGCCTCTTGAGCGATTACTTTCTCGCCAAAGTTTTTTAGTTTCGACAATAAAGCCAAAATGGCAAACCTTGTCTGTCACTTCTATTTCACATCTCATAGTTAAGACTGGTGTCTAATGAGATTGCTCGAAGTTCTTAATTACTTCTTGTGTGTTCTAATTAGGTTTTATCAACTATGTTTTATAAATTCACTCGCATCTTAATTCATCGGATTATCTGTTTAAAAGTAAATATTTTGATTTAAAAATTCTTCACTGAAGTATTTTGTTTTTTCACTTTCGTTTTCAATTTTAATAAAATAGAATTCTCTTTTTATAAAACAGAATTGTCTTTTTTTAAGATTTTTCTAATTATTCTAATTAGAAATTATTTTGTTTTTTTCCTTGCTTTGGGAAAAGGCCAGAATTTTCTATTGAACTATTATAGTTAAAATACATTAAAAAGGTTCATCGGCTAATTCTGAATATAGAAAAGCAAGGATTTTTGTGGAAGAGAGAATTAAATGTTCCTCTCCCATTTAATGAAGTAGCATTGAAGTTGATTGAATTCCTTTTCTGTTTTTGTTCATTTTTCTTTAAATTTCATTAATTTTTTTAAATGGGGTTTTGCGTGTTTAAAGTGTTTTGGTTTTAACATTTTAAAATTCTTTGCTGCAATTATTTAAATTGGGTTGTCAGCATCAATTCCCAGGAGTTGACATTTGAACTCTACTTTTATTTAAATATCAAAACACTTTTAACAACTATCTCACCAACCACTAAGACCTAGATACTACAGCAATTTTTTACAGCAAAGAACCTGAATTTCTTCCATTTATCAATGGTCATCATCAACACATATTCAGGAAATTTGGATATTGTCCATGACATGCAATTAAGAAATCTCCTAAAACTTGATACTTAAATTTAGACCAGTCAGCAAGAATTAGCAAAAAATTTTGCCTCAACGGTATTGAAAATAACCTTAATGAATTTATTATTAAAACAGGCTAAAAACTCAGTCTTCTTAATAATACCTTCTTAGAATGGAAAAAAGCAGTTTTTTAACAAGATCAAGCATAGACTAACCAGTTTAAAATTTATAGGCAATTTAATGCGGAATAGAATTAAGAATAAAATATAGGATTTGAAACAGGAATTTTTGATTACCAAAATAGGTAAGGTGAGTAATAACTTCCGTATTATCTGAAAGCAGTTTTACAGTCAACTAATTGAAGCAGAAGTAGTAGCCAATTATTTAAAAAAAAATACAACTTCGAAAGAAATCTCTATTATCAACAAACTTAAAGCCTTTCACCGCAAACTTAAAATTTCTCTTTTACATGACTACAGCAGATTTTCTAACCTTTATGCTCTATCCAAATTCCATAAAATACCACTAAATTCAAATTTATTGTTAATGGAACTAAAAATTATAAAAAAGTATATTGACTACTTATTTGTTCTCAAGCTTAAGGCTTATTCAATTATTTTTAATTCAGTTAACAAAAATAAAATTTTAATAATAGCCTTCCAGTTATTAATGATCTTAAATATATAGAAATTAACTGGGTAAAAGTATAGTTTAGGGTACCTCTTGGCGATTTTGGCGGTACATGGATACCGATTTTGTGCAATTCTTTGACTCGTTATTTTGGCTTGC